CACTTTAATTTTCTGATGTCTATTAAAACAAAACCAATGTTTTTCTAATTGTCCTCGATTGAATAATTCTCTCTTACCCCAAAGTATTTAATTATCTAAGATCATCCTGGAGAAGAACAGCATTCTCAAATTATTCTGTAATTAGAAATAGTGCTATCTATATAATCATATAATCTCTCATTTTGGTGTTAATTTTTGTAAGTAAACTGTCAATATGGAAAATTTTTTCAACTATTAAATTTTAATAGGTGATATACTTCAATGGCATTTGAAAGGGCTACCTTTTTTACCTTTCCTAGTTAAATTATATAATTAAGTGCTACTTCCTTTTTTTAATCCTAGGGCTTCAGAGATCTAAACCCATTAGCATTATACACTAACTCCAGTGGAGTGCCAGGTGATACAGTCTTAACAGGGCTGAGCTACCCTTCCCAGCAGGACTACTTTAATGAAGACAGGGAGATAAGTCTGCAATCCAAAGTGAGTGTATTGCACACCTTGGTAAGAGGTTTTTGCAATCGTAATTCCTTTTATTAGCTATAGTTATCCTCATTTTGTAGATGAAGGAAATGAGACTTCCCAGACTTAGAAAAAAACTGAGACTCTTGTGTATTGATAATAATTTGTCAGTTTAAACCTTTGCATTAATCCTGTTTTCCTCCTGAATAATTCCTCTCTCACACTAAATTTCCTTGCTTTTATGGGGCACTTGTGGTTCCCTTACATTAATCCTAACCCTAAATGAGAAGCCCCTTCTTTCCTCATGTATTTCCTTTTTTGGGCGCGGGGGGGGGTCTTTTTGAGTCAGTGTCTCCCTGTAGCACCAGCTGGCCTGGAACTCTCTATGTAGACCAGGCTCTTGAACTCACAGATATTTGCCTGCCTCTTCCTCCTAAGTGCTGGAACTACAGGTGTGTGCCAACACACCTGGCTCCTCGTGCCTTATTATTTATTTACTCATGTAAAAACTGCTGGATATCTATTCACACCCAGTAATGACAGCATTACAGTATCTTTTTCATTATGTATTGCTGCAGCCCAGATAAGAATAGGAACAGTATTTCCTGAACTAGTACTATATCACAGGTACTACTCCTCAAATGTATTAGGTAATTTAATCTTCAGAACAACCTTCCCAGGTTGGTACTTTGACCCATTGTAGATAAAGGAAAGTGAAACCCAAAGCAAAAACATGTTTCTTGAACAAATAAACAGACATATCATTTGAGTTTGATATTCTTCATGATATATGATGTGTTAAGGGTCAAAAAATGTTTTCTTTGCATAACATAAAATGTAAAAATATTCTTTTATTTAATAGGTATTATATCTATGCATTTTGTAAATGGTGAGGTTTCTTTTTAGTACATATTTGCTGACTTAAAAAGATTAAAAGGTAAAGCCATTTGACTAAGATATTGACTTGTCATGAAAACTATCCAGGAACTGTGTATGGTGGCACACACCTCTAATGTCAGTGCTCAGGAGACTGAAGCAAAAGGATCACAAGTTTGAGACTTGCCTAAACTATATAGCAAGACCTGGTCTCAAACAAAACATATGACTTTCTCCTGGTGCATTTGAAAAGCAGTAGAAAAATTTTAGATTAATAGTTAATGTTAAAATTAGTTTAGCCTGTAATTAACCCAAGTCTTTCTTAGTCATTGTGACTACCTTTGAAGAATTGTATCTACTCATTCTTGAATAGGGATTTTAATTTGATTGACTATTCTGAATATCTTTTTTAAACATTATTTTTATTTTATGTATATGAGTGTATTGCCTGCATGTAGATAAGTGCACCTGTGTTGTGCAATGCCCATGGAAGTCAGAAGAGGGCATCAGATCCCCTGGAATGGGAGTTAGGACAGCTGTTAGCTGCCATGTGGGTGCTGGGAACCAAACCCAAGTCCTCTGCAAGAGTAGCCATTGCTCTTAACCACTGAGCAATCTCTCCAGCCCCTATTTTGAATATATTATCTTCGAATATTTTATGTTTGATATCAATAATCTTGTTGATATCTTCAAAGAATCGTAGTTTGATCCTAGAAATAATACAAAAGAGAAAAAATAATTAAACTCCCCTATCCTAATTCATTTTGTATTTTGATGCAGCAAGACTCCTGTATGTTACCCACAAATACACACATATCTCTGTATACCCAGTCCTTGCTGGCTCCTATTGCTTTTAAACATCCTGTGAGTTAACTACATTATTGAGTTTCTTAGATGTCCTCCTCTCTGAGTAGTATTTTGGATGTATCTCTATGATGGTTGTACTCAGAAGATGGCACTGTGATCACCTGATATGAATTTTGCCATATTTTTAGCTTTTTTAGAGCTGGGACCTTTGGGTTCTTTGTATCTGCAAGCTATTCTGTAGACATGTGTTAATATATGCTTGGCAGTGATTCTTACCTGACATAGTTGAGCAGAACAGGAAGACCTAGGGTCATAAATAAAATGAGAAAAGAGAGTAGCGCTTACACAAGTGTGTGAATCATAATGAAAAATTCCCAGCAAAATGTAGAGGAATGCAGATTCTGGAAATTGTTACTATAGAAAATAATTTCTCTTTTATATCTACTAGCAAGATATTAATGATGAGAAGTCTTTAAGTCACCTTAAATCTGTGTCAAAGGAATTATTAAAGGATTCCAAGTTCAGTTCATTCAAAATACATAAGCACTATGAAGAAGATCCACAGTGGCCCATCCTTCAGCCAGGGGATATAAAGGAAGAAAATGAGGTAAGAGAAGAAAAGGTAGTTTTTAAAATACAATTAAATAATTCATAAATGAATTGGAATTCATAAGTGATTGGAATATAATAGATCTCTAAGCTCTACTGCATTCAGTGTCATAGAACATTTCTCACAGATGAATTACAAATGATCTCTTCACCAGTCACCAAGACCAAAGCTGTAGCAACATAATGTTGATCACAGTAAAGAAATGCTTTGATGTGTAGGTTACTGTCCCAAAGATCTGGACAAGTATAACAGTGGTTTGAAACTAGTATTGAGAAGCAGTATTGGGTGAAACTCATCAGGAAATAGGTTTGTACTTTTTGGAGAACATACTTTATTTTTATTTTAACCAAGTGGTTATATGTAGATAGCCTGGAGCCTACCCCAACCCATGACACTTTCCGTATTTTTCATTTTCTAAAACAGCCATTTTTTTCTCTTTTAGCTGCTGTTTTTAGAATTTACCTCTCTTTCATTACCTTGTATATAATTTCCTGATTTTCTAGTTTTAATTGTCTTTGGACTTCCTGCCATGAAAGATAAGGGTTTAGTTCTTGTTCATTCCTTCATCCCACCATACACAAACATAATCTTGATTTTCCATCTACCGCCATCTCTTATAGTATATCAAACTTTTCATTAGATCACCACTCAATATTTATGGCTGTAAATGAGATTTTGTGTTAATATTTTGTTGTTTTTGAGTTAATATACAATGATAAAAATAACTTCTTTCTGTAATTTTTATATATTTGTATAGTTTTGTGTATTCAGCACTGCAACCAGCATGCAGAACAGCTCCAACACCTGAAATACTATTGTGCTGTCCTTTTTTAATCACAGTCTTCCTCCATCCTTGACCTCTTGCAACTAATTGTTTTGTTACTCTAATTTAACCTTTTCAGGACTATCATATGAGTACTTTTAGATTGACATACTTTGTTCAGCAAGGTACCTTTGAATAGTTTATATCCATTCAAGTTGTTGCATGCATTAATAGTTCAAAGCTTTGAATGTCGAATGGTCCATTTTATAGGTTATACCACAATTTGTATATTTCCTCCCCCACCAAGGATCATTTGAATTGTTACTAGTTTCAGGTAATTATGAATAGAGCTGCTGCAAGTATTCATATACAGGTTTTTGTGTGGATCTGTTTAATTTATACAAAGAAAACACCTAGAAGTAGGACTGGTGGGTTATGTGGTCAGTGTTGAACAAACTGCTCTCCAGAGAAGCTGAACCATTTTGCATTTCCAACTGTAGTGTATGAGTTCCACTTGTTCCATGTCCTTGCTAGCACTTGTTATTTCCAGTAATTTTTATTTTAACCCTTCTAATATGTGTATAGTACCATCAAAGAATGGTTTTAATTTGTATTTCCCTAATGACTAATGATATTGAACATCTTTTTATAAATCATTTATTTAATAACCACATAATTAGAAGAAGCATTTCATTACAAGAGCATTGACATATTCAATAACAATTTCCAGAGCTAAGATGCATCTCTTTCAAAATTAGCTGTAAACTTTTACGTTTACAGTTGAATTAATGCAGTTATACAATATTGTAGTCAGTATAAACCCTATAAGACATAAAATTAAATGAAGTTTTTAACATTTAAAAAAGATCTCCATTTCATTATTAAAATAAAGAATTCATGCAGAAAACTTCATTTTTAATGCAATTGACATTAAGATGTTTGCATGTGCATTTCTAATCTCTATATATCAGATTATTACTAGTCACAATCGGTTACTTTCTGAGCTCCTTGGCATCTGAGCCCAGATATAAAGTCA